AATGTAGCCCAGTGTCAAAATGACGCCCAACAGAGAGACAAAAGTGAAGACCAGGTAAAGCGTTTGTGTTTGTGCTGAACGCCAGATATTGCAGGATGGTTTACATAGATTCAATAAAAGCGTCTTATTTATGTAGAATTTTAGGAACATTTTGCAAACAATAATCGCCACAAGCAATGGTGCGAATAGTAACCCCAACCACAGCAATGTTTGATTATAGACGAGACCCAAACTTTTTTGAGATATATCAAATTCGGGACCACCGAGCCAAGGCCAGTAAATGCTATGATTCGCGATAATAAAGATTGTAATAAATATCAATACTCATTAAATCAAAAACTTCACTCCCCTCACCTGGACAGGAAAGCTCGCGTAACACAAATGAGTGGTATAATAAATAAACAAATGAATGTGTCCATCACAACAAAGCGATACAATTCTTGTCCAATATGAGTCTCCCAGCACTGAAAATAATAAGGCACGTAAAGGATGGGCTAATATATTCCGAAAAAGCGCAATACTCACTTGACTATATTCTTTTGTTAGAAGAAAGTATACCAAAACGCTTATAATAACCGCCTCCAGCATGAAATTTCTCAACAAGGCTATGTGCAGAGTACGACGGGGTGAACGATAATCTTCCATTCTGAAATACATAAATACTCATTTTAATTGAAGCCATAAAAGAACTTAATCGTAAAATCGTTTTACCTCGAAATCCATGATAAAACGGATTGCATTAGCAGCATTGTTAGATTTAGTATACCCGCCGTTGAGAGGGTTCTCCAGCCAGTGTCAGTTGAATCGAGTCGCTAACGGTGATTAACAAATTACAATGGTACTTCAAAGCTGATTGCGCTTACTATTTACCGTCAACAATATCCACACAGCAACTCCAGCACAGCCTATTATAGCAGCCACCAGCACATGTGCTATAAGACGAGAGCAAATAAACCAAATACGCCACCAAATAGTTAGATTTTTCTTGGTTTCAGTTCTTTCATTAAGTACCGCTTTAAATTCGGTAAAAATTGCCATGTGTTTTAGTTCAGCCGCCTTTCTATTCGATATACCAAAATCCCAAAAGCAAAAGGTTTTAGGTGCCAGCATACCTCTAGCACTGCCAGCGGCTTGAATAAAACTTATGCGGTAGACACGCGCCATTCTAGTGAAAGAAAATGATATAGAATAGATTTCCAATAACTAATTACAGTATCTACTTAGTGGAAATGACGACAAAAATTAGCAGGTAAAGCACCAACATTGTCATAAAATACGCATGTGGTAAACTGTAACGATTTAGAGCAGGATGTAGACGAAATGTTGCATTGCTGTACCCACTGTAAAATATGAGCGAGTTTTGCAGATATCCCTAAAACAAAATGTGTGTTAATAGATGGAAAAATATGTAAACCATTTTTTAACCAATCACTTACCTCACCAGTAAGTACATTCATGATAAGCCCACTTTCACCTTCCCCATCACCACCCGTATAGTTTCCAGTTAATACTGTTTCATTAAGATACATTTCCTCAGTTGCTATTGTGTTATAGAGTACTTGCGGAAATGTGATGAACGTGAAAACGCATACCAATACCAACACATTCAGCATTAGAAGCCAACGCAGAAAGTTGAAAAAGGAGCTGACATTGCAGCCAAAGTGACCCTCGATTGTCTTCAGTTCATCATACCAAATTTCTAAGTTATGATTTATAAACGTTACGAGCTTCCAGCTCCTAAATAGAAAAGCTATGAAAGCATTGGTGAAGAAATGACACCAGCTGCAGCGTTGCTTTTCGCTGGCATGTTGCTCAATGGTGATGGCCAACTTTTGTTTAAGCATGCGTTTCACACAAAGTGGCTGCGGCAGCGCGCGAAGTGTTTCTCTGTAATTTTTTGTAATTGCGTATGTATTTATAATAAAATGATAAACTAATTAAAACAAACATACAGTCTATGTTGATGACTTAGTGCTGTGTCTTGCATGAGGCCATCGTGCTGTTCGATTTCCTGTGCTAACAATTCGACTTCATTCTCCGCATCCAAGCCATTTGTAGAGAGCAATTTTCCATCCACTTCGAAAAATTTACGTGAAGGCATGCGATATATAGTTTTTTCTCGTATACTATGTTTATCTCGGTCGAAGCGTGCCAAAGTCTGAGACCACCGACGCACCTTCATATATATATAAACACATACATATAGCATATAATGGACGCCATTAAGAACATAAATTTTTTATGAAATTACCATATTTGTTGGTGTTGCACCGCGACTGAAACTACCAGATAGCACCGCCAGCGGTGAAGTTGGTCGCAGGTGATGTCGATGTCCACCGAAATTATTTATCAGCTCTATGGACTCATCGCCACACTGTTCATCTGTGCCATCGCGACTGCCGCCACAATCGCTTTTCTTACTTTTATTGTCATCGTTGGCAACTGATGCACTGGCGGCGAAGATTCTGAGTTGTTGACCGTTTCCAATGCTAGTGAGCAGATTTTGGCTACCTTCGAGTTGCGTAAATAAATCGCTTTGTGATGATGCCGTCGACGTAGTAATCACCTCAATGCGATCGAAATCTTCGCTGCTGTCGGAAACATAGATCCGATTTTTCATCCCGTAGCCCGACATTCGCTTCAGTTTTTATTTTTATTTGAAATGTTTAAATCATTTTAATAAACTAAAATTAATAAAATAAATTAAATTAAATCAAACAAAGGAAAAATTTAAATCAGCTGAAAATAGAGCTGGGATACTATCGATAGTATTGATAGTTGAAAACTGTCGCCTCTATCGATAGTTTTTGAAGACTATCGATGTCGGTGTTTAGCAAAACTTCACTATATTCTCTTCAAATCTCTACTCAACTTCATCGCTCGAGGCAACCGAGAAAAAAGAATACTAGAAACCATTGTGATTTTTAGTAACTACAAACTTGTACCGAATTATATGTAAATTGAAATTTTGATGAAACTATGTAGTACTTTTTATTTTTTGTACAACATTTATAAAAAATTGAAAACCATTAAATAGACAAAAAAGAGATTAGTCAAAACGGATAAAAATGTTATTTTCACCAGCACTTTATTCGTTTTCTAATAAGGGAACGTACCCATACTACGTGACCCACTTTTTGCAATTTTTAACCCCCCCCTCCCCCCTCGGTGGCCGCGGGTAGTATATTCCAAGACCCCCCCCCCTCCCCCTACAGTTTTCACGTAGTAATTCATAAATATGGTTTTGAATCATTTCTTGCTAACAAAAAGTTGAAAAAAATATATATTTTTATAATTGTCTTTATTAACACGGCGCTTGCTGCGTGACGGCAGGAGTGCTTTCATACCTATAATTACAAGTGGAAAAAATATTATCAAGATAAAATGTCAAAATATATCTTAAGCAGTACTTAAATTATAGAAACAAATGTCCCGTTATTTTTATTAACCTTTATTTTCCATCTCAATCATCTTCAACAAACACCTTCCCAGCATCAATCCACTCGGATACATCGTAGATCACGGGGGCGGTAACATCGGGAGTTTCCTCAGACGTAATTATTATCTCTTCATTGACAGCCTCGACATCTATCCACTCCACGCATTCCTTTATGACACACAAGGCCTCCTGTGGTCTCCTAGAGAGAACCCGCAGAGGTCGCACGCGAGACACGTCATCCACCGCACCACCATGCACGTTTTTTCGATGGTTGTTCAATCAGCTGACGTCTGTTCGTCAGTGTTGCCATCTGTGGGTTTAAAAAGCGACAAACACTGCGCGCCATATTTGAATGTAGCTCGAAAAAAACGCTAGATTTTCTTAGTGGATATTGACTACGTGATAAAAACCTAAGCCCCCCCGCCCCCCACTGTGACCAAGTGTGGTATTTGGAAGATCCCCCTCCCCCCCCTGAACGGGTCACGTAGTATGGGTACGTTCCCTAATATGGTAAAAGGTTAATAATTTCCCTTGTCACTGAGTTGTAAATTTTGTGTTTGTTGTACTAAAAATGTATGACTATAACCACATTCACTCCCTTGCACTTGAAAAGGGACAAACAAAATCTGAATTTCATTTTTCCATATAAAAAATTCAGATTTTGCCTGTCTCTATTCAGATGCACTGATCAATTAATAAGTTTATTCTATTATTATAAAAAGTTCCTTTTGATTAATTCATATTAAAAAAAAGTGTAATTTACAAAGTAATTTATTAATTTTTATAAATTTTCTAAGAACTGAAGGTTTCAATTGAACACTGTTACATAATGTGGTTCACGACGATAGTACTATCGATACTATCGATTTTTTCAACTATCGTTTCGAACACTATCGAGTGGCGGTACTATCGACAGTATCAAACTCTACTGAGAAACTTGGCACAAAGGATGTAACAGAAAAAATATAGAAAAATTGTAAAGAAAATTCTGTTTTGATTCCGGCATTTCGTAAACATCATTTGTTCTATGAATTAATTGTTTTTTTTTTTAGTTGCCAGTAGGAATTAGGTTTTAATTATGTAATTAACAATGAGCAAGTGTTGGAATGGGAGATTATTTATAATAAAACCATTGTGATATCTCTAGCCTTTACTGTAAAGCTTTCTATTTTCAATGGGATTATATGTAATTATATTTGATTATGTACTAAGTTGAGGAAATAATTTCGCCGTGACAGCTTCATTGTTTATACACATCCTTTTAAACATTTTTTTTAATTTTCGGTAGCCGCCTGCAACTTACATATAAGCAACGACTATTCTGGGATAGCCATTACTCAGTAAATAACAAGTTCGTTTACCCTCATATTATTAAAAACAATATACTTATCCTCAAGGTCATCAGCGCTATTGGCTTAGGATCGTCCATTTGACGTCATGTGTTTTTGGTTTAAAGAAACAGTTAGACGTATGTATATAGCTGCGAAAACTGAACGCACCGCCTTTATTAAATACCTATGAGTCAGTAAATAAAACTGGAGATATACGAAGAGAAAGCTTATATTACCCTCTTGCAGTATCAGGATAAATGTAGCTTTATTGAAAGGAAAAGTAGTTTTCTGAAGACCTGCAGCTGCACATAAGCATTCGTACATTCATTTTAATGAAAGCAAAAAAGCATCTGTTACTACATATATATAAAAACTTCAAAGACAAAAAGTAGGAATAATATTAGTCTACCAAATCAAGCAGCAAATTCTACTTTAAAAGTCTGTGACGCGGCCTTTACGCTCCCAATCACCATAGCGCGTTGGCTCTGGTCCAGCAGGTCCACCAATTTCACCCGTATGTGGATTGGTTGCATTAGGCCATGGCTTCAGCGGTTCTTTTTCTTGGAAAGGATGTTTCGAGAATTCATCTAATTTTCCAAGTGGTGTCTTTGCACGCAACTTTTTCTCGAATTCAACTACGCGTTCGCTTTTTTGTTTAGGCTCCTTGGACTCGGCGCAGACATTTGCGGTTGTGGAGAGCGCAGCGCAATTGCTTTGCAATATATTTGTTGCAGCTTGCTTCAATGGCGATTGGCACAATCGGCTAGTCTGTTTGCTAATGTTTATTAAATTACTCATCATTTATAAGCGATGGTAAAACTTAAATCTTCAGTTTATTTTACTTTTTTCACAAAAAAAAATTGTGTAATGACAATTAACCATTTGTCAACTTATCAGCTGTTTTTGTTTTCCTTGGTTTGACATTCGCTAACAGTGGTGAAATTGATTACAATTTCACCAAAAGAAGTTCGAGGGCCGGCCAAGGTTGCCAGGCAGCCGCTCTTAACATAATTTAGTGTTTTTTTATTGGCTACTGACATTAGCATGCTTTTTGGATACAATTTGATGATTTTGACAAATCTGAATTTCGAAAATGGCGAGAGTTCGAGAGGAAATTTTAATAGCGTGAATATAGGGTGATCCATATAGACCCTTTTTGTAAATATTAAATAAAAGGGAAATGTTTAGCTAGTTGTACAACGATTTAGAGGTGGGGCGGAGGGGGAAGGGGTGTGGGCCCCAAAAATCCCCCCTAAACGAAGGAGGATTGACGCCGCTTCATGAAATAAATTTTTTTTTTCAAAAATCCGTGGAAATGTTCCTATGATACAATATTTACTGCCCTTTTTAAGATAATATTAACGTTCGTTCAATGAGGGAATGAAAAACCGTTTTTCTCGAATTTTTGATTTTTTTAATTATGCATTTATTCCAGCAAACGTTAGTTATAGAATAGGCTATTAATTACGTATCAAAAGTTTGGATTTTTGCAACGCAATAAAATTCTCACACCCGCGTACATAAATACATATATATACTGTATGTAGAAATGCCAGACCCCTTCAACGAGCCCAGTTTTATACGACCTTTGACGTAGGTAGTACGTAATCTGATGGTAGCGAAAACTTTTTACAGTTTTCAATTTCCTATTGGGTTGTTTACAAACTTTTCGACCGCGTAGACGAATAAACTTAAAATAATTTTTGTTTTTTACTTAACCGGCTGGAAAGCTCCTCAAATAATAATAATAATAATAATAGATTGGCGCTTACACATATGTTAGTGTTTGGCCGAGCTTCTCCTCCGACTTGTGGCGTGCGCCTTGATGTTGTCACACAAAGCGGAGGGACCTACAGTTTTACGCCGACTCCGAACGGCGATTGTATTTTTATGAGAAGCTGTTTTTCATGGCAGAAATACACTCGGAGGTTTGCCATTGCCTGCCGAGGGACGACCGCTGTTAAGAAAAAACCTTTTTCTATATTTTTTCGGATGTTGCTTTGACCAGGGCTTGAATCCAGGTGTTGATGTGTGAAAGCGCGCACTGCTTACCACTACACCACAGCGGCCGACCTCCTCAAATAAAAAGAAACAAAATATTTCAATTCAGAAAAAAATATTGTTAAAAACGAGCATTAATAATTCGAACTACAATGAAACCTCAATATACGAAGCTGATAGGGTTCGACCAATAGTATGTTATATTAACCGTTTCGTTATATTTATACACCCAAATTCATTAAAAGTAAAGAAGGCTTTAACTACTTTATAAACCGAAAAATTGTATAAAAATGTCATTTTATAGAGCTCTTTAAATCTATTTTATTTTTTATGAATAATATATATATTCAGACTTAGCTATGCAGAGGCTTTGGAGTCGTCACTTCCGTTATATAATGGCCGTTTAACCGTCAATATATTTCGAAGAATTTTATGCTCAAATTTAGGGGACAAAAATTTTCTTATTTTTGAGTGTTTTCATGTTATCAAGGTTCGTTATATCGAGGTTTCACTTGACTGTCTTACATTTCAACATATGCATCGGCAATGCAGTGCTTTTGCCCACCGGAAAAAGTTCCGCTTTTCACCACTTACAACATAGCAGCAGAAATCACTTCCGTTTTCTATTCACCCCAATTAGTTCCATCGATTCCCGTTAAAGCGAAGTAAAACTCATTATTTATGTTTAAGTACATTTGTACTTAAAATAGTATAGTAATTTATTAAAATATAAATTACAATTCTTATTCAGTCGAAATGTCTTATGCTATTTTTTTCTTTAATTATTGCTTATACATACTTATGTACTATTGATATTTCTACTTAGTAGTGAAAGAAAAGCAAAATTCTAAGCAAATTTTGACTAAAAATCTGAAACTCGTCCCTTCCGTTCCCAATCACCGTAGCGTGTGGGTTCTGGACCAGCTGGGCCGCCAATTTCGCCAGTATGTGGATTTACGCTGTTCGGCCATGGCTTCCATGGTTCTTGTTGCTGTCGTGGATGACCAGTTATATTTTGCAGCGAAACTTTTGAGAGAAGGCGCCTTGAGAATTCGACAGCTCGACTTTCCTGTTTGTAGGCGGCATTTGTTTGTTGGCAAGTGCAGGATGTGGAAAAGGCCGGTGCAGCTGTCTTCCAAGGATTGGGAAAGAAATTTATTTGCTTGCCCGCCGTTTGGCAGACACGACAACTTTGTTTCACTATGCTGCTCATTGTTTCACGATTTTCTACGTATGTAAATATGTATGTATGTAAAAACACAAATGTTCAATTTACAATAACTTTTCAATTGGTTTCTTTTTTGGTTAAAACGCTTCGCTTTTTTTCAAAAAGTTCTTCACTTTTCACTTTCAGTTATTTCAAATTTTCAAAATTTTTTGCTTTATTATTCTTAAGCTTATTGTGTACTTGCTGCTGGTTGTTGTATGAATGTTCCTCGCCAGCGGCGTGCAAGCGCTTTTATACACAAACCCAAAAACCTTGAATGGAAACATTGATGCCATCGCATGGATGGAGCGAATGTTTGAGCGCGCAAAATTTTTTTACGAAGAGTATTTGCTTGGCGCTGAGCGTCAACAATTGTGCAGCCAGCGTTGCCATAAGTCAGAATTTTTCTTCAAAATAAAGATTTTTTGGGCAGTTTTTTATTAACTCAAAAAAGGATTTTTTAAATGCAAAATTTTATACTGTAAATATCTTTAAAATTAAGATTTTTGTGTATGATGTAAGATTTCAAAATTTTTAACTTATTTATTTTATCCTTGCTACATCATTGTAAGTAGCAAATGAATGAAAAAGAAAAAGGTTTTTTATAATGAATACGTTAAACGTGGAAAATTTCAATTAAACTGCCATTTAAGATATATTTAGTGATGAGTCTACATGGATAAATTTATAACAAGAAGTAAAGGGGGGGTAAGCTTTATAAAACAATATTCATAGAAAATCTAATTAAAAAGCTTAAAAATGTTATGAATCTTTGTCGAATTTTCTTAACTTTTGAAGTTTGGACATACATGGTTTTCGTGAGATAACATTAAATAAACACAAAAACTAAGCAATTTTTAAGCACAAAACAACTGACCTCACTCCACATATATAAATTTAGAGGTACCGTTAATTTCTTCATGAACCAATGACCAGGAGTTTTTTTTCAATGTATTTCCGTATTTTATGCGTTGGTTTATTATTTGTAAACTCATATATGTATGATTTAGAAAGCAAACTGTGCTAAACAATTTTTGGATGCTACAAAGGCAATATTGATTTCTCACTTAAATTTAAATAAAAAAGAATTTATTAGCCGGTTTCACCATCAATTTAAGTTGAAAATGATTTTTAATTTTCTGTAAATTTCCATATAAAATTCAAAAAACTAAAATCATTTTTCATTTAAACTGCTTTCGTGAAATTGGCTGTATAACTTGAAATTGCAAATTTTTTTCAGTTAACATAATAAAGGCTGTTTACAGCCGTAAAGCCAATATCGAATTGTGTGTTTCTTATTGAGTTAAAATTTTTTTTTTTAGATTAAGACTTTTTTGGGATCGAAAAGATTTTTTTATCTTTAAAATCTTATTTTGAAGAGTTTTTTGAACAAAATGAAGATTTTTGGGGCAATTTCTCTGGCAACACTGTGTGCAGCACGTATGTATTATTCGGAGCGCAACTGGTTTCACGTACGCTACCAAATGAGTCACTGCCGGCGGCGCGGTGGTGTTTGATGGACTTTTCTCCCCATACACAAATGTGGGTATGTGCATACATCTTATGGAGTGTCGGCACAAATATTGTTATTGACACCAGCTGAGCCAAAACAATACTTTTCGGCCGGTATGTGTATAATAAGTATCTTATTGAAAAGTGATCATCGGCGATGTTTACGTCCTTTAATGCACGTACGCCGCTTAGCGAAATCCACTATATAGTATATATTTTATTTGTGTATATTCACATTCGTGGGTTTATCTGTATATAAACAATTGCATACATACCTACAAATGTACATAAATATATGTATAGTATACTCCTCAATGTAATTAATTTAAGTATACGTTTAATTGCTTTTACTGTAATTCTCTTCCGCAGCAGTTCACTATTGACTGAGCTTGTTCAGCTAAAAAAGAGCAGTTAATAAATAATTCAAAGAATAGGTATTGCGAAATTTACTAGTTTCAGATTACGAGCGGTGGGTAGTGACAGATAAGGAGCTAACTTTGAGGAGAAAGAAGGCTGGTTACAGCTGCAGGGGGGTAATGGCAAAATATCGGGTATCTGTCTGAAGGCTCTGTTATGCATACTTGGCATTGCATGCACTGCTATACCATTTTTACGTAGAAATCAAAAACCAACAGACTTTTACGTATGTAATGCTGTGCGTTGGGTAACCGCTTACACGCGAAGCTCATTTAACAGATTCCTTATGTGACAACTCTCAAGCAATGCCAAGTATGCATAACAGAGCCTTTAAGGCTCTGTTATGCATACTTGGCATTGCTTGAGAGTTGTCACATAAGGAATCTGTTAAATGAGCTTCGCGTGTAAGCGGTTACCCAACGCACAGCATTACATACGTAAAAGTCTGTTGGTTTTTGATTTCTACGTAAAAATGGTATAGCAGTGCATGCAATGCCAAGTATGCATAACAGAGCCTTAAGGGCCGGTTGTTCAATGTCTGGTTATCGATACTTGCCGGTTAAACATCATTATCGACGTTTTCGACATCACGCATATAACATGTGATCGATAAAGAAGTCGTTGTATTTAACTGGAGCTTCCACCTCCGATTTGTGCTAATCAGACATTGAGTAACCGGCCCTTAAGGATATTTCCTTCTGGTTATCACTACCACTGCACTATCGACGTTTTCGATATCATACATATAACATGCGATCGATAA